ACTTTGTTTATATCGTATTCGCTCACAATGTACAAATATCTCAAAGCATCTTAAAAAATAGCCAAAGGTTCCTCATCGGACCTTCATTTGCATCATAAGATATTAATGCCTCATCAGCGTACTTGAAATGGGACACATGGCCACTATAGGAAAATTTAAAACTAGAAAGCGGTTAATCCTCATGGATTCCTTGCAACGTACAAGCTAAAAGCTTCCCAAACTATAGTAAGGAGAAAACGAGACAAAGAGATTTGTTGTCTAGTTCCCCTCATACCCCAAAAATAGCCCTTCAGGGTCCCATTCACATGCACAAAGAAATAGACTAATGAACTTTGCCTATAATCTCCATCTATTTTTGGTCTTAGCCAATCTTATCAGATTTGCTTCATAAGCCTCTTTATTTTTGCATAAAAGGGAAGCAATTCAGTCAATTCTGGGGAAGTCATCAAGTATATTTACTAACATACAAAATTTTAAATAACATAATGATAATATTAGAATAAATTACTAATTAAAGCATATTATCAATCAAGTTTGGGGAAGTCTTCAAGTATATTTACAAACATACAAAAGTTTAAATAACATAAGGATAGTATTGGAATAAATTATTAATTAAAGCATATTATCAATCAAGTAAAATGTTTTAAATTTAATTATCAATTTTAAAAATAAAAAAAAATACTTTTCTGTGCTAGAAATTTTGATTTCAATTATTGTCCTTTTATTCATTTAGGGAGGGAGGAAGTACAGTATTCTCCCTCTAGAAGTATCAATAGTAGACTCTCTATAAAAGTATCTCTAGTAGAAATGTGTTTCCCTCTCTGAAAAGAAGTACTCACACAGCCTGTAACATGGTACACATAGTATCTCACTAACTTTCCTGAAATACAACATGGTACACATGCCATATCACAATTATTATTATGTATAAAGACGTGAAACTGCTAAATCAAGTTGCTTCAAATGGAGTATACAAACTAAGATGTAAACTGAAGCAGATGAAAGAGAAAGTAACAATAGAAGCATAAAAAGGTGGGGGACCCAGATCCACAATGAGGCCCCTTCCTCAAGTAACCACACGAGCTAATGAGTTACCAAGGTCACTGCCTAATATCAGTACATGATTGAAGCTCACTTTAGGATCTTGGCAAAGTGTCTAACCATCATGGGTAACTTTCCTTCACCTTCAACCAGTAGCAACTTAAGAAAGACTGGAAGAATACGAGAAATCCCATGAGAACTGCTAGGGCCTCGGTCCTATTAGCATCTCCATACCTGCTGATCCTGCGTGCGCAACTAAAGTCACCCCCAAATGGTCTCTAATTGCTCGCATACACCCAAGGGGCCAGGATGCCCAACATGCTTCCATAAAATTAAGTTTCAGAACCTCAAGTGGAGGCTTACTCCATGAGACATAAATAGGGTGCTCCAGCACCCAACTTCACCACTCGATTCCATCCTATCACCAAATAGAAAACTTGGGGGACTTGGAATTCCTTTCTAATTAAAGTGCATAATATAATCATATTCCTAACTCAGCTCCCTACTTTTGTAGCTTTTGAATGCTTGCCCTCAAAAATACTTATATTCGATCTAACCATGGCTACTAAATTCATTTCACTTTAGGTGAATCACCCGATGTTCCGGTTGGGCAACTCAACCAAAATGAAGCAAAGAGTATAACAAAATCTTCAAATTTTGGTTGACTTCTTTAAAATATGACTTGTATGAGAAAAGATAAAGTGTCACATGCCCTATGTATCAAGTGGAAATTTCAGGAAAAAAAAAATTGACATACCATGCATAACATGTGACAAGCCATACAGGTATTCTTTATAGAGAGGAAAACATGTACTATAGGTAAAAGATGTACTGTAGATATACTATATATAGTTTTAGAGAGAGAAGACCATAAAGAAAAACGTACTTTCTCTAAATAAATAGAAGGAGAATAATTGAGATAAAAAAAAAATTAAACTAATTAAATCAAAACCTTTCTAGGTGTAAAAAAGTATTTGAGTGCATAAAAAGTCAAATTCATAAAAAAATATAAAGTGATAATTTGCTTTGAAATTTTATAATTTCTTTTAATATTGTCCTCATACAACCCTAAATGACCCTAGAGAAGGAGAACTGATAAGTAAGTTGTCAGTTGTCTCTTTATCGTCTCGGCACATGAAACAAATATTGGGGAGTTGTATACCTCTATACTTCAGGTGATCTCCTGTGCAAGCTTTGTCTAAGATTATCAACCGTCAAAGCACAACACTTGAGATGCGGCAGGAATATCCCACACCAACTGTCCTTTGGAGCAGACCAAACCCCTTGGGATAGGGCACAAGCATTTGATTGCACAAAGAATTCCCCTTAAGAGCCATATCACTACATAAGTTTGTCAAGGCCATGTCTAGGCATATATGATTTCAAAAGTACAAGAGTATACATAATTCCCCACGCAACCCTGTGAATGGCTCTTCCATAGCAATCACAAACTCACCTCTTGTGCATGGGCCACACGAAAAAAATTAGGAACCACTCTTGGAAGAATGTGCGGCCAATCTATTAATTACACCACAACAAAGTCCAACCATCCACCCAGATCTGATCCCAAACCCTTGAAATGATTGGACAACATGCTTTTCCCAAAAAAAGCAGAAATATTTTCATAATCCTTATTTCTTTATTTTTGATATGTTGTAGTTACAAAATAAATGTTTTTTCAGCTGACAGTCATTAAATAAAATTATGTTACGTGCTTTATTTTTTAAAGAAGTTAAAGAATCATGACACGTCATTTTAAAACTCTTTCACTACCCCTGTTTAAGTATTTTTTCTCTCTGTACCTTATGTTTCCATAATTCTCATTTTCTGTGATTTATTCGGCACTTTCTACAGTTCTAAGTTAACAAAAAAAGGCATATCTTACCTTTAAATTATACTCCTGCTGTCCTGCACAACTAAATTAATTGACTCAAACAACTCACAGTCAAGTCAACTAAACCTTCCAACACCTTAACATGGAATTTAAAATCCGAAACCATGGCTCAAGGGTCACAACATTCAAGCAAAGCCATAAAGCCCCGCACCAGGAACAAGCAATCTATGGAAGTACTCTGGCCATCTTTCTATCCTCTACTCTAAACTTCCGATAGTTTTGGACCATCAAACCCTAGCTAATTACTTTTATAGTGGATACCCTAGAGTTCAAACCCGACCCTCCATTAATGACTATCTTTCATCCGTACCCTTCTCAATCCCTCCATTTTCAGCTAAATCATTGGGGCAATCCTCATGCCCATCTAAAAAGCTAATATAGAACTCTTTCCCTCCTCCCTTGCTACCAAAATCTTCTACTTCTACTATCAGTGAAGTGATCCCTTGCTCGTCCCTAAACCAATAATGTACATGTCCAACAGGGTCTTGTTCATCAATCTCAATAGCCATATACACATGCTCCCATGAAATCATATAACAACGCTTGCAGATCTCCACTCATTTTATCATCCATAAAATTTCGAACCGTGTGTGTTTGTTTGTTCACTCACACGCATGCATCAAAAGACACATGTTAGAATGAACATATAGATACAAACTTATGTTCTATTCATGTGCATGTGCACCCTATACAAAGACAGGGGGAAAAGAGAATAAAACTGGAGTCATTAAATGCTTAAGAAAATAGCAACAGTTTCACCACTGCATGTAAGACATGTGAAGCCCTGAAACTTGATCAAAGAAACTTGATCGAGAAACCATTTGAACAATTTTCCAGCATAAAGACTCTTGCAGAACTTATAAACTTATAAGAAGGCAAAACAACAAGCATAAAGTTGCTAGACAATATAACATATGAGTTACATTACTACAAAAAACAAAAGCATAGATGATATATGGCACAGTAATTTTACAGTGTGCAGTGACATAAAAAATGTTACACCCCATGAAAGTTTATATTATACAAAACAATGTGAACAATACTAAAGTGGACTATGGAAAATAATTGAACGATACTTTGTAGTCATATAGGACATGTGGATCATTTATTCAAGCATGGTTATATAAGAAATGAAACAACATTGAGTATCTAAAAGCATCATACGTGACTTTTGAATCATTCATATAATGGAATAAGCTTCTTGTCATTCAGTGTCCAAGCGTCTAATATCTCACTAAGCAGTAAAATCACACAAGGGTAATAAAACAAGTCCCCAAATCTAGTTGTGACATGCTCACAACATCTACACCATGGCGAATACCTAATATCATAACGTAGTAAAGCATTCGAAATCAACAAAACTCTGATATGATGTAAAAAAAAAGCTGATTGTTTATTTAACTGTAAGCCCTGTACAAATACAAATGGCTCAATGATTTAACAAATTTCCCTATTCAATATCCACACTACACAAACTGGGAAACTTGAAAAAAGGGATAGTTGCGCAGATAATGAACAATGTATCACTATGACAAACTATAAACCAAATGTTGTTTTACCTGCCACCCCTACATTAACTCTAGCCACATTCATTTCAGCCTGAAATCAACTACTATTTTTCCTAGCCCACAAACAACAAACGTAAATTCAATCAAAGAAAATGAATCCTTCAATAATATACAAGGCAGGCCACAAACACTTGACAGAGAACAATAGCAGAACAAATTGAAAGTCCAAACCATCGATTGAAAAATAAATATATTGAAATTGCAAACACAAAATCATATTCAAAGCAAACTCGGTTAAAAGAAATCTCCAGTAAAACTGACATCGAAAAACAAATATATTGACAAAGGCATCATAGAACAGATTAGCCCATTCAGCAAAGGAGAGAATAACCAAGCAAACCAACATAATGAATGCAAAATGAGGTCACCCATTAAATGAAACACAGAAGTAACCAAATATTCAAAGACAACCAAGAGAAAAGGGAGACCCCCATTTAAGGAACCAGAAATAAACAAACCAAAATACCAAACAAGCCAAACGATCAACAAGCACCAACCATCTGAGCACTTGGTTTTAGAGAGAGCTGAGCCTCTAGGATCTGAGGGTGGGTGTTTCGAAGCCGAAGAGGTAGAGGGAATGGAGAGGCGATCCTTTTCCTTATCCTTCTCTCTGCCATTGTTGAGACCCTTCGAGGTAGAGGGCGAAGACTTCTCTAGGTGTTTATCGAGAGCATCATTGATCCTCTTCCTATCAAGAGGAAGGCTGCTGAGCTCTGACTTAGAGATCCCCGTTGCTCTACCTTCAGATCGATCCAGACTCCTCTCTTTGTACATAGTCCTCTCTCTCTTCTTCTTCCTCTCACTAAGAATCACCCCCTCCAAAACCCTCACCCCGCATGCTATTCCACGCCCCTACACCATGAAAACACCATCACCACCACTCTTCTCGGAGATCTGAAGAAAACCGACAAGCCAGAAATGAGCAATCGGCTGTCCGAGACTTGGAAAAGGACAGAGAATGAAAGATAGAGACAAGGTTGCGACGGACAATTGGATGGATTCTAGAGAGAGGAAGAGATGGGTTTTTAG